TGCCTCAGATTCTGTCTCCCTCTCTCTCTGCCCCTCCCCCCACTCACACTCTCTCTCTCTCTCTTTCTCTCACAAAAATAAACAAACAGAAAAATTAAAAACAATTTGGACATCAAAGCAGAGTAAGCTTTCCTGACTGGCAATACTGTGTGTACATTGTGGCCAGTAGATAACACGGTCCATGATTCCACAGGGAGTAGACACCTGGAAAGGAGTCTGGGCCCCTCCTAGACTCCACCCTATATGTGTCTTCCTTTGGCTGGTTCAAATTTGTATACTTTCTTGGTAATAAACATGATTATGAATAGAATAGGTTTCAGGGAGTTCTGTCTTTCTAGTGGATTATTGAACCTGAAGGTAAATTTGGGAAATCCCTGAATTTGCAGTCACCGAGATTCTCTCTACTATAGTACAATTTCAAATCCTTGGGATGTGAAGGCAATTTATTTATTCTTTGCTATGTTCTTTTCTGGAATATATATGTAATCAATCCTGCTTTGAAGGAATTCAAAACTTTTAACCATAAGAAAGACCATTTTTACGAATGCTGGTCACTGTCTGACTATTGAATGGCAGTAGTTATCCATAAAATTTGGATTAGGAGGTGTATTTGCATGGCACTGGGATTCAAGGATTGTGATATACTTCCAACAAAAGAAGTATTCCAATTCCAAAAAAAATGTAAAGATTTTTCACAAGAAACCAAAGTATACAATAAAATAAAATTAAATATTGATGCTCTTTAGTGATTGTTTAAAACAAAGCATTTGTACAATTTTGTACAAGGATATTTCACTAATAGAGGTGGGAATGAAATCTTTTATATTGCTTATCATTTGATCTCTATGCACTGAATTGTAGTCACAATAGAAGCAATTATATTCACATTATGAAGAGAATATATACCAATCACTATAATTACTTAACCTTGAAGCTGGCAAACAGATAATTTATTTAAAACAACAAAAAATTAGGTTATTATCACACAGGTAGAGAAGTTCTAACTAGTTTAAATAAAACCCAGTCTTTCATGCTAGAGCACAGGCTAGAAAAAAAGAAAGAAGATCACACATGATAAAGGTAACGAGAGATGACGGAAAAGATCAGGAAGTCATTTCTGATATATAGAAAGGAATCTAATTCATGGTTAAGTCAAACACAGGTGAAAAGGGAAACAAGAATTATAGGAAGAAATTTATATAGAGTTAATTATGAAAATAATCTTTTTCATAAATCTACTAAATAGATAATAACTGCATACCAAAAAATGACAAAGAAAAATTTATCAATTAAAAAGCCATTTAACAAAAGACCAATTTATACATTCCTCTAATTATGTCCATAAAAAATTTAAATATACAAATCACATTTCCATACTCAAAGGAATCTTTCTAAACAAATGAAATACACAGACATATAAACAAAATCAGAATTCAAATCATTAAAAAAATATTTTAAAAATCACAGTAAATTATACCTCATAATAAGAAATAAAATAACAAAATGACATCTATATACATTTCTTAAAGTTTCAAAAGCTCAATGATGAAGCAACGGTGCATAATTTATTTAAATAAGTAGTTTACTAATGCTTATATAATATACCTATTTTAATATTCTGTTAGATAATGGATTTAAAGAACAAATGTTGAAACATCCAAAAAACTGAATTATAGTTATTCTTAAAATGTTAATTTTCCCATGTGTCCAAAGTTGTGAATTACAGTAATATCCTCCAGAAAAGTCAGGTATTTGGTAAAGCAAGGCACATAGGACCAGATTTTGATAAAGGTGCTTTTTCTTTGGTCCTGTAATTTCTTTAAATATGCTACATATCTGGGCGATTCTTAAGATGACTTTCAATATAGCATAAACAACTTTTATAAACCTTTTCTTACGTAAAGCATACATCCATGTGTAATTAAATATTATAACAATGAAAGTGTAAGTAAAACGAGATGCTAAACCCTATTTTTAAAAACAAAACAAAATTCAGTTGAATGACTATACAATGACATTTTAAAAGTCCAATAATTTGATATGTAGGAAAAGTGTATCAATTCTTAAGAATAATCAATATTACATTAAGTCTACTGGGTACAAAGTCAATTAGTTTCTTTTCAAACTCTGTCTCCTTAGAATCTAGCTTAAATATCAAACTACTTTTCCTTCTACGAAATTGTGACATTCGATATAAATTTATGTAAACATTTAAGTTTTGCACCTCTAAACTACAGTTTCCACCATAAAAGTAGCCTACAACTTCTCTAAAAATACTTATTAAAGAACTGGTGATACTACTGTGTTGAAACATCTACATGTTGAATTTCAAACTTTTCTTCCCAAATACCATATTCTTAATTTTTAATAGAACCACCAACTGGCACTCTTCTCCCATGAGTTAGCACATTTTTATAATGAACAAAGTAGTTAAGAGATAACAAGTAAACTTCAAAAAGTAAGAATTTAAATAATAAAGGAGTCATCATTATAAAAGATTGATACAATAAGGCTTTTGGAGGTCATCAAAACACACACCACACACAGAGGAAAATGGCATTATCTGTATATATGACATGATATAGCCTACAGGCCCATCTTCTCAAATATGATTCTTTCTTTCTGAATTAAAAATTATAAGCTACATAACCCAATCTCTAATAACATCTTCAAACCTATAATCAAAATATAAACTAAGCTTGTCTAATAAATGTTTCATTTGAAAATATGCTTTAGACTATTTTGTCCTTTGTCACAACTTTTGATTATATTTTTATAAGCTTTATTGAGAATCTTGAAAACTGTTATTTTGGCCACCTGAAAATATATTACAATGGTAACTAACCTGTCTGATTTCCAATATTTGCTTGTATCATTTTTTGAAGGGACAGACTAAACCTGAATTAACAATTAATTGTAAATGTACACTGAATTAATATGTAAGTACCCAACTAGTACTTCAATGTGGGCCAAATATAAATCTTTATATTTACTCTTGAATTCTGTGCATTTGCAGGATTTAGATTTCACTTGGCAGTAGGTAGTAAGATGTACATCAGAATGGTGTTAAAAACACCATGCTCAAAATGTGGTAAAGTTATTAAACAAATGCTCTCAAAGGTGGTCACTGAAAATCATAAGTCAGGCTACCAGAAAGTTTGCTTAGTGTCAGTTTGGAATTACCAGGAAACTGATTTAAAAGTATTTTGTACTTTTAAACACTTTTAAGCTTTGAATGGAATAGATTAGGCCTGTGTCCTGTAGAGAATAGGTTTGCATAAGCAAAGTAATATAGCCAGTCCTAATTAGCCAAAAGTATCCAACAGTTTGTGACACGGTATTTTTGAGCCAAATTCTATTTAACAAAATCCATTATAACTATATAAAAATATTTACTTTTCTATAGTTTTTAACTATTAGAATGGAAGACTTTTAAAAATATATGAAGCATGAATGAAAAAATAAAGTAAAATACGTTTTATACACAATAGGTTAATTCTGTCTATATAGTCAATAATTAAGTTAAACCTATATTCCATTTTTAGAAAGTATTCTTGCCCACCAATTCACCTTATCATTTTTGCTATATTTTCTCTCCATTGAACCAACTTATTAAATAACACATGTAATTTACAACCTCAACTCCAGTGCTAATCAAAATGGAAAAGAAACCACTATCTTAAAAGCAAAGTAGTGGTTCCTTCCCAGCAGCTTTTTAGGGCCACAGAAAGGGACTCAGAATTGGCTACCTCTCCTAGACATGTGACCACAGTATTTCTGGGGATGGTGGGTTTATGAGAGGCTTAAAAAGTTCTTCTGAGCAGCCTTGAGTTATAGCTATGGTGCCATTTAAAATAATGAAATATCATGGCAATCTGGAATGTCTCTAAGAAAGGTCATTTTGGTCTCAATTCGTTGACATCTATACTACAATTATTTTGGTTGTTGTTTTTAATTAAAGGAAGTTTTTACAGATCAACGAGTAAAATATTCATTTAAAAACATTCTAGATGTATACAGTATATGCTTTGATAGTTCAAAATTCTCCAAGTGGAGATGTTAGACAATAATTATTTTAAATTATTAAACAAGTATTTATTTCCTTTAAATTACATTTTGAAACTTCAATGGAAATTACCACATACAGAAATTTAATTTAAAGTAATATTAAGGATTTATCTGATTTACAGAAAAGAAATATAGTTAAGAGATTAAGGACAAAACTCCATTAGTGCAAAAGTCTCTGGCTACTCTCTAGCACAGGAGCAACTGGATTGCTTTCAGCAGTTTCAAAGCACTAAAAGATCTTAAAACGTAGATGGAGAAATAGATGTGTGTACTTCTCTACATTAAATTTAAATATGAATTTTATTCTCTGACAAATTAGACCCAGAACGTAACTTTATCAAATTTTATGTAGTTGAACAAATAACATTTAGCAATCCTTTCTTTAGTAATCTTTTGTATAAATATAAAAATCTCAGATACATGAAAATGTTTTTCAAATCATACTTCTATTTCTTCACAGCTTTATAGGCAATTATAATTATAATTTTCAAACTTTGAATATTCCATGTGATTTGATAGATCTGTACAGAAAAAGATAAAAAACATTTAATAAGATTAAATAGATCTAATTTGCAAAAATTGGTATCGGACATTTGTTGTGTGCTCTTGCAAAGAGTGCATAGGACATTTCTGCAGCAATCAAAAGGTAAAATCTTTTTAAACTCAGATTTCAAGTTTTTTCCAATAATTATTTTTCCAATAATTATTCTAATCCCTGGAAGTACTTTCAAGCTTTGATTTCTAGATGTAATAGGTATTTTATTAACATATACACATATTTTAGCCTTAAATGTTTATATTTTCAAACCATTTGAATATGATGAGATTCAGCGTGATGATATCTTCTTTGAATCTGTAGAAGTCCTCTATGCAAGATTAATGTTGAGATTCCTAGTGCACCATTGTGAAAAACCAGTTAAAGATAGTATATACTATGCTTTAGTAGGATTGCCTGTAGGTTTGGGATCATAACCATATAGGAAAGTAGCTGTTATTACAAGGATGGCTCCAAGGAAAAAGACACTAAACAGATGAAGAAAAAATAAAAAGAGAAAATCAGATTAAAAGCAAACAACTTCTTTCTATTTCTTCACTTGTAAAAACAATTATAACTTGGGGGAAAATGTTCCATAATATGACTAACAAATACTGAATACTTACTACATTCTAGGTATTCAAGCCAAATATTTTACATGCATTATCTCACTTAGTTCTTATAACAACCCTATGAAGAAGTATTAGTATTGCCCTCATTTTTTTTTTTTTTTAATATATGAGAAAACTGAGGGTTAGAGTAACTTGCTTAAAATCCCACAACTTGAAATGGAAGACGAGATTCAAATCCAGGTCTGTCTGACTTTAGAGTCTGTACTTTCATCCACTGCACTGTATTGTCTCCCAAAACAAAGATGTTTTAAATGTTGTATTTCCCCTTAACATGTCTTTTGCCTGCAATACACTGAATAATAAAAGATCTCAATTTTTAAATATTTGAAAGTAAAAAGGGAAAATGGAAGTTTTTTCAGACCAAAGTAAAGTTCAGTTTAAAATCCAAGGTAGTAATAAGCAAAACTCAGGACCAATTTACATAGGATGCTTTCTTTACAAAAGTAAATTAGATTAAATGCAAGTATACTTGGTTTATTCTTTATTTTATCTGCCCATAGATATAATATACCTTATTATAAACTGGAAATGAACTTAAACTGGTACTAGAACTTAAAGTGGAGCTAAACTGAATACCAATCTTAACTTTTAAGATGTATATTCTTCAAAGTGCTATTATAGAGACATGTATTTGTCTTGGTTTTAAAGTTTCTATTAACAGTTCAAAATCACTCTCCTGCTTTACAACAATAAACATTTGTTCTATAAAGGAAAAAGATCACAACCCTTATTATGACACAAAGGGGCCCTTCCTAATGTGGTCCCTCCAACCTCATCTTCCACACTCCACCCCACCCAATCTGTAATTCGGTGAACACAACGTGCCTTTCAAGACAGTGTCTTTGTAGATGCTACTCCCTCTGCTTGCAATGTCCTTTCTCCCAAGAAAACTGATTATTCATACCTCAGGTCTAATGTCTCCAAGACTCACTCCCCTAGGCAGATGTACTCTATGATAACATTTACTATGCTGTATTAAATAAGGCATTATTTACACGTCTACACCCCGGCTTAACCATCTGCTCAGCATTCATCATTATACCCCAAGTACCTAGGATATGGAAGGAGCTCAATAATTATCTGTGGTGATAAATATCTAGTGTTGACTTGACATAAATGGGCAACTTTCAAAAGCCCTGGATGCAGGTACACAGGTAAGATTAAGATAACATAAACTTCTTATAATACATCTTGAAGAAAATTACTACCATAGGAATATTTAATAATTATTAGGCTTTGGATGAGCTTCTGACTGAAAAGTTTCTCTGTCAGGCATTCTGACCTTTGTTTAGCTTTCTGAACCTCTGGAATACACACTCAACTGAAAAGTTGTCTGATCCAATTTTCTACCCCCTGCAGGAATCCATTCTATGAAATCTCTAACAGGATCTACTAGAAAACCTAATAATGTCAGGAAACCCCTGCTTGTCAAGATAGTTATTTTTAGATGGTTCTGAGAGAAAAATTTTTCTTGGGGAAAAACTATTAGAAAACAACGATTATCTCAAAGATTTGAATACCTGACTTCCAACAGAATTATATATATACTTCAATAATGTATTAATCATAAAGTTCTCATTTATTTATTCACATATCTAACTTTCTAATCACTGTGACCTCCTTGAAGAGAGGAAACATATCTCATTCATAAATTTAGGTTTTTCCAGGATCTGGTACAGTGAAAGGAAGACACATACTACACACTTAATACATTTTTGATAAAAGAATAAATAAGCCTAAATGCAAGGATGGTTAATGCTAATAAGCAAAATAATCAACACAAGAAAAATAAGTTAGGAAAGGAAATACTGGTGATGTGATATCAGTAGAGATGTCTAGCAGTCAGCTGAAAATAGGGATCTAGAGTTGAAGTTGGGACTTATCTTCATAGAGAGGACAGACAAGACATGGCAGTGGATAAGATGAATGAGAGAGTGAATAAGGATTGACAGATTACCAAAGAAGCAGCCAGAAAAGCAAGTATAGGGGTACCACTTCTGGGAAACCAAAGCAAAACAAAACAAAACAAAACAAAACAAAACAAAACAAAACAAAACAAACAAACCCAAAACACACATGAAAACCGTTTTAGGAAGTGAAATGGGGGTAACCATGGAAAATATATTAATACATTTGGAATAGGGGTCATGGATTTATTCCTTAAGAGATGCTCTTCACAAAAATAAGAATATACAAAGAAGGTCTAGTTCTATTTTAGGAAAAATAATCCATCTCCTTCATGCGGCTCAGTGTCAAAACATTCATTCATTCAATAATAACGGTATCATTGTCTTTTCTCTTTTTCTCTTCATCGCAACATACCTTACACAGACCCTCAGAAACATGGATTTACATGCAGGTATGCATCTTATTGACACACCACTATTTTGTCCCTCTACTGATTTCCCCTTTCATTTACTTGTTCATTCCCTGCACGTTTCAAAGATTTAAAGTTAACACCCTGACTTAGCCTTATATGAGGTTTGATTTTTTTTTAAGGTATGCTTTTTTAAATGGACCCTAAAAATCTATAGTTCCAAACATTTTCAAACAATACAAAGTGCATAACTGCCCCCACTTAATGAATAGAGTACCTAAAGCATAATTAAGGTATAGATCCTAGTTGTTAGGCTAGTCTCACTAGCTAAGTAATTCATTCTCATACCAAACTAGAAACAAGTAATTTTAAACTGATGTCACAGAAAAATCACAGATCTCAACATGCATGTCCCAGACCTATTGTCCAGGTTGCTAGAAGGAAACCATAAATGTTCAATATAGAAATATAAAGGGCATATTATATTTTTCTCCTGCCAAATTCCACCCATAATCCTATCTCACTCTAGTGACGCAAATGAATTTTACTAGCTGTATTAAAATTTTAAGATCTTGAACATTCATTCAGACACAAGGAGTACCTCTTATAGGCCAACCTCTGGCCTTGCTTATAAGATGGTAATAAATCTTCTGAAGAAAGGAGGAAAGAATGATAGAATGGAGGGGGGTGCCCTTTTATTTCGGGAGGTCTCCTGATAAAGTAACATTTGAACCGAGACCTGAGGATGTGAAAAAGTTAGTCATGTGAATACATAGGGGATGAGTATTCCAAGATGACTGAAGGACAAATCAAAGCCCATGGCCAAGAGATTACTGTAACTTAAAAAAAAAAAAAAAAAGTGAATAAGAGGAAAGTAGTATCAGATTATCAGATGAGGACAGAAAGGTAGCTGAGGGCCACATCAAATAGGTCATTAATGATGACAACTTTTAGAGGACATGGAAAGCAGAGGATTTCTGAACAGAGGGGTCATATGATCTAATTTACATAGAAAATAATCAGTCTGTTTGCTGAATGGAGAAAATTGTAGGAACACAGCCCAAGAGAAGAAGCAAGAAGATACATCAACAGATTATTTCCTTAATCAAGATGATAAATGAGTGTGTCCTGGACCAGGATGGTAGCAATGAAGTTGTGAGAAATGGTTGACCCTGGAGATACCAAAAAGGAAGAGTTGACAGGCTTTCTTTCTAGATTAGAATGATGTATGAGAGAAGGGTAAAGAGAAGCTGATGACCTTACTTCTTACTTCACTCAGGAGGTAAAGAACTTCCATACGTTTTAACTTTCCTTTTTAAGTCTGTCTATACATCCATATCCATAGACTCTGCCTTCTCTTAGGTTACTGTGGATAAACTGTGTTCCTATAAGTCAAGGAAGATTTTGGCCTAAGCAACTGGAAGAATGGAGATGCTACCATGTACTAAATTGGGAAACCCTTATAGGGACAGGGAATGAATTATGTAGTAGACATTCAAGTGAAAATGTCAAATAGGCAATTATATATACAAGCTTGGAATTCAAATTAAAATGTGAAAGTTATTAGCATATAGATGGTATTTAAAGCCTTGAGAATAGAGATCACCTAAGGGAGTGAGTGTAAATAAGAGGTCCAAGGGCAGAGCCTTCAGATTCCAAAGTTTAGAAATTGAGAAGATGAAGAGTGGAGTGAAGTTAGAGGAAAACCAAGTATAGTATCCTGGAATCCATTAAAATATAATCTCATTACTCCGGAATTAGAAATTAAAATTATGATTATAATTATGATTATAAATTTTAAAAATGATAGGACCTTCAATACCATCTGTATTTATCATACTTCATTCTTCCTAATTCTGTCTCCTCCCTTGGCATCCACGACACCAAACATCCTGGGTCTTCTGCCTTCCCTTGCAATTCCCTTCCCAACCAACCACATCTTCCTGCCACCATCGAAAAGAGTTTTCTCTTGCGCCACATTCTCTATGTTAACTATTCAAGAATGTCATTTACTCTCCTGGCTTTATCTACATAAATTCCACACATACAAATCCATTATATGACTTATTTTATGACTTTATATGACTTATTAACTTTTTTATATGACTTTTTACTTTGGAGAAGAGTTTGGAAAAAATTTTTTAATCTGTTGGGCAAATTCTGGCTAGCTAAATTTGTATAAAAAACTTTCCAGTGGAAGATTTTCTTTTATGCATTTAGTTTGCAATCTTTTTTTAAAAGATAGTTAAAAGGATCTTTTATGGTATTTCCACGATTCTTCAAAAGTTGTAATAAAACAAGATTTTTCATACCAGATCTTATTAAGAATTCTTACTTTTCTATATATTTTGGAGACTTAAAGCAATAGAAAAAAATATATTACCTGGTTGGCACAAAATCTTGCAGCCAAAAATAGGATATCAGTGTTGATAATATTATGGATAAAGAGGTTGCAAATCCTTTTAAAATATTATCTGCATATTTAATAACAGCAGCTATTACAAGGCCTCCAAGTGCCTGCAAAAGTTTTAAAAGATTATTTTAAACAAACATATATAAAATTGCTTTCCCAAACAATCTCATTATTCAATAAAACTTTAGACTTTTGTCCTATAAATTTAATCCCATTGTAATAAGTGATTTTATTTTTTTAATTAAAAAAAACTAATGTTTATTTATTGTTGAGAGAGAGAAAGACAGCGAGCAGGGAAGGAGCAGGGAGAGAGAGGGAGACAGAGAATCCGAAGCAGGCTCCTCACTGTCAGTGCAAAGGCTGACCTGGGGCTCAAATCCATGAACC